AAAAAATTTTTGCCCCCCTTTCACTTGTATGGGAGGGGGTCCAAAAAATATTTAATATAATTTTTTCTTAACATTTCTATATTTGGGTCAACACGATCTATCTTCTCACCAAATTTCATGTCGATAGCTCTAAAACTGACGAAGATATGAGGGCGCGGCATACAGACAGACAGACAGACAGACAGACAGACAGACATGACGAAACTATAAGGGTTTCTAGTAGACTACGAAACCCTAAAAATTACCATTTTTTTATTTTCCCATACAACTTTAAAAGTTGAATAACTCGGAAACTAAAAATAATCGCGGAACATACATGGGGTATTTTCGAATACCCCAAGATGTGAGGAATCTAATTTCTTTTTATTGACGTCACTCTATGGCCCACCCTGTATACTTTCGTATTTTACCTGCTTATCTTAGTAGGTCTGGAGGTCTAGAGTCGAACGAACGCGTAAATATCAGGAACCCAACGCGAAGGAACCTGTTTCATGATACAAATTACTTTTCGCGGGCTACAGCCAAAAACGACTAGGCGGATCTTGACATGTGAGATGTCGTTAGACTCGTCTCAGCAGCGTGGAGTGACACTGGCTATATTAAAAATCATTACATAATTCAAGACAGCGGATTTTTATCGCAAAATACGACTTTGAAATACCGCAGTCGGGATTTTGTTATTTAATACATCTCCTTGTCATACAAAATGTAGCTTCGTAGCTTCAAGAAGTATCTTATTTGACTTGTCAATCAAGCACCTACAAATTCCATGCGTAGCCGGTTAATCTTGTATTGTAATGGTTTCGGTATTTTTTTTCTTATATTTTATTTATTCACAAATTTTCCTTAATTTTAAACTACAAGTAAAATATTTCTCCCAAGGCGGCATTGCCTCTTTGAATGGCAATTATTAATCGGTATTATAATTCCACCAAAGACTTTGATATTTCATTAACACCCGGTATAATTTGCATGGCACGTGCGTCCATCGACCGCTGAGACCAGTTAAAATAACATGCAACACCATACAACTGTGCACCATACATTGCACTCAGAGCAAGGAACATTCAAACATTTAAAACTTTTCGTCCACGGGCACACATATACAGGGAGTAACAGAAAGGGTATAACAAGCCGAAAGGAGGCCAACGTACGCATGAAACTGAACAACTTTCCCCATGGAACATGGGTCGAAATATGAAAAATAAAATTGGGCCTGCCATACAAAATTGCCGATCAGCTGATTGATTGATTTACAATGGGAGGTCCAAATTTCTTTTTCATATTACGACCCATGTTCCATGGGGAAAGTTGATCAGTACCTTGACCTCCTTTCGGCTTGTTATACCCTTTCTGTTACTCCCGGTACATGCTGTTTTTCCTAGAACTCCAATGACTGTTCTTAGAACCGAGTTTTTTGGAAGTTTGTCATACCTACTCGTTGTGCTGAAACATAAAATGAAATCACTAAGTATGTACCTACTTGCCTAAACAGAATTAGTAATTTAAACATTATATGTTCGCCGAAAATTCTGCTCTACGTAGCAAACGTTACCAAAAAATATTATTTTGTGAATTGAACTTTATATGAATTGGGCTTTATGCGAAACTGACATTATTCGAATTGGTGATTTTGTTTGAGTATATGGGACATAGCGCGCCGAGGTATCCTGAGAATAGCGCGGTGTGGTTGTGTGGAAAGTACCAAGTGTTTAAGCACCCGCCAAATCTGATTGCGACAAGTTTTGCGTGGCTTCATTCTGGCTATAGATAGGGTTCCTCTGAACTAACTTTGCATGTGCACCATACATTTAGTATTAAACAATTATACATACATCTATATACAACGGCGGTGAGTTCACTAGTGCGGTGAACCGTGCCAAATACCTTGTACGGTAATTAGAACAACACCATGAGACATATTTTTGAACCAGTAGAATTCGGATTCGTACGCTCTAGCCTGCAATTAGTGGGCTAACCTCTCGTATCACAATTTCACCAGGTATTAGAGTTTTAAAACGTGAAAGAGATATGCGGAATAAAATGTACCTACCTATTTTTGATGTAGTAGAGCGAGTGATACGTGCTGCAATTAAATTCGTACGGCAAACTTTCGCACTCGAAATCAAATCCCTATTTTAAAAATATGCCTTCTACTCGCTTACATTACGGTAGTTTTAGGGATCCATGTGGTATTGCACACACATCCATCACGCTTAGGTACATCTTCTGCGGGTTAGGCAGAGCGTTATCTACGTGTCTGGTAGATATTCGGGATACATCTGCGGAAACCAATCCAAAAATTCTACATTATAAAATAATTTATAATTATTAATAATATCAATAATTCACAGACAAATCAAAATACCTACTAAACACAAGTGAATTCGCGCCAAAAACCCAGTATTACCAACAAGAAAAATTAAAAAGTTGCCCATATTGAAGTTTGGCTACTATATTCAGCCAGTGTCAGTGAAAAAAAAGTAAAGTGTTGGACTAATGTGGATTGAAGGATGCAGAGGCAGCTGAGCAACGTGTCCGTACATTCTTACCAGGATTACCAGCCGAGCAGACGATATGGTAAAGGATCATGCCGTGGATTAGGCCCACTACCCCCGCCGCCCCCATTTCAGTCATTCAGGAACCCTTACTTTAAAATCTTGAAATACGCACCGTACCACAAATTCGCATTTTATGAAAAGTTAATATGAATTGTGCGGTCCTTTGCTCTCAACAACAACGGGCTATCCTGAGGGAAAAATTAGTAGAAAATAAAAGTAATATTATTCTCCTAAGATCTTCTTCATTTCCCGTGTCATAAAAACATCCGCTCGATTTGACTCATTTGACTTCTTTCTCAGTCAAAGTCTGAGTAACGTCATCATATGGAGGTCTGATGTCAAATCATTACTATTTTTCTCGCGAGAAGAATTTATGAATAAGATTTAAAATGTCATAATATTAGGGACTCTTCAAAATAATCTTTTCTGAAGCTGGTATGAAATATCAGCGTCAAAATAAGTCTGTGAAAGATGTCACGTCAGTTCGTGACTTGTTCATGACTGTCATGTTATTTTTATATTGACAATCTAAAACCAAATTATTTTTCAGAAAAATACAATAGTAAATAAACTGTCTGTATATTTGAAGATAATATTGGTTGGTTGGCGCAATTGATGGTAGACCAGATCCATCATAATTTCTCCTGCCTGAACGTGGTTAAAAGTCTTTTGGAACGGACTAACTGTAAGTGCACTTTTGATGTAATTCTGAGGCCTGCTAGCAGTAGGTAGTAGGCGGCTTAAAAACTCTGACACCAGGGTTAATTGGGTCCTTCGTCGACTCGGTGTCCCACTCGAAAAGAAGAAGAAGATGGGATTTTCAAGCTGGAGTATACTGAACTAAATCTGCTTGTAAAAACAAAATCATATAGCAAAAGGATTTGGCTATGTTTTATGGCCGGCCGCCTGTCTGACGTCAACCCTCTTTGGGAATACTACTGTAGGTGGTATCATCGCGGCCATGCGGTTGACCAAGGGTTGACCATAGTCGATAGATATTCAATCGAGGTCCATAACTCTGCGTTGCGTTTTGCGAATCACCCTGAGGTGGACTAGGGGTGGCAGTATTATTAGACGCTACCACACGGACTTTTCCCCTTTCAATTAATTAATTATTGCTTGTCTTTTAAGGTATCCTGATTGGAGCAAAAGAGCTGGTTTTGTTGGTTGCTGGCGAGCAGGGAGGTGCAAAGAAGGGCACTGCAGCAAGACCGTAGCAGAGGTATATCCTCGAAAAAATATATGAAATTAATTTGTAAGGACGAATATAACATACAAATGTGTTACATTACAACAATCCTTATTGTATTTGTATATACTTGCTTGTTATAATTATAATTAAAAAACTATAAAAAACATTCAAACAAACATTTTATTTCTATTACCAATGTGCGAGTCGACAAAGTACCTGTTATGTAGGTCAACAAGGTTTTTAGAAGAAGTTTCAAAGTAAAGAAAAACAGAAAGCGCCATCTTATGGTTTAGATAGTAAAATATCAGATGAAATAGAGACTAGATTAGAGCACCTTTTTCTTCGCGTAGCGCCATCTATGGGTTCTTCACGAAACTAAAATTATTCCGCCATCTTTGACATACAAAACTTATTTCTGTACTTTTAGCATAACTTTTAAACTAAATTATCCAAGATCTACTTCAGCCTAGATCTTTTATTTTAAACAGTGCAATTAGATAATTAGTTAAGTTATTGTTAAAGTATTGTGTCTTCATGGTACGCTAATGTTTGGATGCGTTAAACATGATACTAGTTTGTATGGCAAAAAATCAAGATCCTTTAATATGAAAATTTTGAACACTGCCGTTTTGGTATACAATAATAAGAAACTTTCAACAAACTTGTGCTGCAGGCAAAATTCGAACCTACAGCTTTCATTTTTAGGGAAGGTATACAAAATAGAGAGGCGTGGTTATCCATCGATACCACCTGCAACGAATAAACAAGTGCGAGTGGCATGACTTCGTCTGTCTGCCGGGCTTAATGAAAAATTAATAAAATTATGTTCTATTCTAGCAAACCTAACTCGAATCAAAATAATTTTGTAAATTTTCTATATAAGTTAATTATGTAAACAACGGAACAGCGATGATTTTTGAAAACTTTGAGGAACGGAGTACTTAGTGTTTAGGTTTAGAAGCATGCAGATATAAACTGAAGATAAGTAAACGCGAGCATTAGTTGCGTTCGCTCAGTGCATTGTGGCGGTGCTACGAAACTGCTAAACAGTCAAGTAAGGTTATAAATTGAAAATGAGAAAATTGAAAATTCACTAGCGACCGCCGGGACTTGAACTCGGGACTGTGGATCACCGCTCCACCGCTCTATCGACTGAGCTACGGACGCCTAGCCATGGTGAATCTTTCAACCTCTTGATGCTCGTCCCGAAGCGACGATCCAGCTTATAGGTTGAAAGATTCACCAGGGTCCGCTACCTCAGTCGGTAGAGCGGTGGAACGGTGATCCACAGTCCCGGGTTCAAGTCCCGGCAGTCGCTAGTAAATTTTTCAATTTATGAGAAAAATTCTAATACATTAGTCAAGTAAGGTTTTTAAGTTAATATTAACCTAACGAATTGAAATCCTCGCAAATTCTGTCTTTAATTGTTGTTGAATTATTTAAGAGAAATAATTTCTTATTCTTATGCACGAGTAGGTAATTCATCATCATCAACTCTAATCTTATACCTTTAAACGAGAAAGAATTGTATATAAATATATATATTTTCGGGATCTCGGAAACGGTTCCAAATTGCGTAAATAGGGAATTTTGGGGGCGATTAAATCGATCTAGAAAGGTTTCATTTTCCAAAAATCTTTGCTTCACACTAGTTTTTAAATTCTTTTAAAACTAACAGCGATATCTGTTGGTAAAGTGTAACCGTGTTTGTAAGTTGTTCTGAAAATAACGCATAAAAAGAGTAAAAAGCAAAAACCGAGCGAGCTCGGTCTACCAGCTGGTCCTTTTTATCCATATAATTTTAATACAATCCATCCTAACTTTTATTGGCCTACCTCCCTCTCCCTCCCTTCCTGCATCCATCGAGTTGTACTTGGTCTAATCAGTCTGGTTAGGACATTGCAGGCTGATTAGGACATTGCAGCAAGATGATTCCGTGTGGGACACCGAGTCGTTCAACGACCCGATGAACCCTGGTGTCAGAGTCTTTCAACCGCCTACTGCAAGTAGCAGGCCTCTGACATGGTTGTGTAACGACCGCCATCATAGACAGCACCCGGGACCGACGGCTTAACGTGCCCATCCGAAGCACGGAACCATCTTACTTGCGGACAATTAGGTGGTTTAGCCTGCGATGTCCTAACCAGACTGGGAACAAATTCACAAAGTGATAAATATCAACTTTGTGAGTGACCCCACCGGGAATTGAACCCGGAACCTTTGCGTGGCAGGCAGGCATACTAACCACTGCGCCACATCGGCTGTCAATTAGATGTTTATAAGTAGTTTCTTGGTGTTAATTTTTTTTGTTTGTCCCCCCAGGTCCGCAGTATGAGCCGGGCGGGTACGCGGCGGCAGTGCAACAGCGTACCAACATGACGCAACGAGAGGACGCGCTCAAGTTCGAGCAGGGGCGCATCAAGGCGCTGCAGGAGGAGCGGCTGCACATACAGAAGAAGACCTTCACCAAATGGGTCAACAGCTTCTTGCAAAAGGTGAGTTTTACCACGGGAATACTTAGATACCGAAGGAAATAGAGCAGGGGCGCATCAAGGCGCTGCAGGAGGAGCGGCTGCACATACAGAAGAAGACCTTCACCAAATGGGTCAACAGCTTCTTGCAGAAGGTGAGTTTTACCACAGGAATACTTAGATACCGAAGGAAATAGAGCAGGGGCGCATCAAGGCGCTGCAGGAGGAGCGGCTGCACATACAGAAGAAGACCTTCACCAAATGGGTCAACAGCTTCTTGCAGAAGGTGAGTTTTACCACAGGAATACTTAGATACCGAAGGAAATAGAGCAGGGGCGCATCAAGGCGCTGCAGGAGGAGCGGCTGCACATACAGAAGAAGACCTTCACCAAATGGGTCAACAGCTTCTTGCAGAAGGTAAGTTTTACCACGGGAATACTTAGATACCGAGGGAAATAGAGCAGGGGCGCATCAAGGCGCTGCAGGAGGAGCGGCTGCACATACAGAAGAAGACCTTCACCAAATGGGTCAACAGCTTCTTGCAAAAGGTGAGTTTTACCACGGGAATACTTAGATACCGAAGGAAATAGAGCAGGGGCGCATCAAGGCGCTGCAGGAGGAGCGGCTGCACATACAGAAGAAGACCTTCACCAAATGGGTCAACAGCTTCTTGCAAAAGGTGAGTTTTACCACGGGAATACTTAGATACCGAAGGAAATAGAGCAGGGGCGCATCAAGGCGCTGCAGGAGGAGCGGCTGCACATACAGAAGAAGACCTTCACCAAATGGGTCAACAGCTTCTTGCAAAAGGTGAGTTTTACCACGGGAATACTTAGATACCGAAGGAAATAGAGCAGGGGCGCATCAAGGCGCTGCAGGAGGAGCGGCTGCACATACAGAAGAAGACCTTCACCAAATGGGTCAACAGCTTCTTGCAGAAGGTACTATTATAGCTATGACACTCCCCCAATTGAGGGGTATTTCCATACTCACCACGCTTGGAAGGCGGATTGGCAAGCGCAGTACCAACATGACGCAACGGGAGGACGCGCTCAAGTTCGAGCAGGGGCGCATCAAGGCGCTGCAGGAGGAGCGGCTGCACATACAGAAGAAGACCTTCACCAAATGGGTCAACAGCTTCTTGCAGAAGGTACTACTACAGCCACAACAGTCCAGACTGTCAGACATGACCCTTCCCCAATAAGTATTGCCATACTCACCACACTTGGCAGGCGGATTGGCACAGCAATGTAAAGTCCATTTGCCAGTGTCATGAAATGACGTGACAAGTCTAAGCAGCCAAGTTACGCTGGTCGCAAAGCTCAGATACTACGCGACCAGCGTAACTTGGCCTCCCGCTTAGACAGGTCATGACACTATGCTTTAAATGGACCGTACCAACATGACGCATGACGCTCAAGTTCGAGCAGGGGCGCATCAAGGCGCTGCAGGAGGAGCGGCTGCACATACAGAAGAAGACCTTCACCAAATGGGTCAACAGCTTCTTGCAGAAGGTACTACTACAGCCATAACTCTCTCCTAATTGGGGGGCATTGCTAAAGGCTTGGCAGGAGGCTTGATGCGCGCAGTGCAGCAACTTAAGGTGGATCGTTTTCCATACAAAATTTAAATGGAGTTACGTCTTTAAATGAGACAAAATTATGATTAAAAAACTTGATGGGAAGTCCCGTGCTTTTATAACATTTTCGCAAAATAAAACAAATAATTTTTTAACCATCAGATTTCTCTGTAAAAACCGTGTCGCCACTTAATGAACATAGATGGAGCTACTGCTGCAATAAACACGTTTAATTTTTTTGTGGAGAAAATACTTGATATTTTTTTACGTTAAGCAGTTTTGCGACATATTTACGTGTGCCTTCCTCATCTCACATAAAGATTTTTTGATAAAATTGTTGTTTAGCTCATGTGTAACTCGGTTGAAGTTCAGATTTTAGTTTGTATGACGTAACGATCCCCCTTAAAGTCCATTTGCAATCATAGTGTCATGAAATGACATGACCAGACTAAGCGGCCAAGTTACGCTGGACACGGACACAATACTTAGATACTACGCGACCAGCGTAACTTGGCCTCCCGCTTGCACATACAGAAGAAGACCTTCACCAAATGGGTCAACAACTTCTTGCAGAAGGTGGGTTCTGGTGTTTCTACCACGGGAATACTTAGATACCGAGGGAAATAGAGCTTTAAGACACTGTGAAAGGAAACCTTTAAGAAACACTAAAAAGACCGACACTAAATGGGTTAGAAGCTTCTTACAGAAGGTAAGTTTTGGTGTTTTTACCACGGGAACACTTAGATACCGAGGGAAATAGAGCAGGGGCGCATCAAGGCGCTGCAGGAGGAGCGGTTGCACATACAGAAGAAGACCTTCACCAAATGGGTCAATAGCTTCTTCTTTGCGGGGAAGGCAGAACGTTAACGGCCACTTACACCAAGTCTGACAAATGTTTGAGTTACTCAGAAGACTGTGTATCACACTAGTGACAGGTTGTCAACCTGTCGCCTAAAATTGCAATACACATCAACTCTCAAATCCCTTAGTCGCTAATTACGATACCCACAGGAAATATTATAGGGTAATGCTATTCTAAGCTGGCACGCACGACACGGCACAGAAGGTAAGAAAAAATTACGTTCTTTATTATCTATACTAAACATATCCACCCTGTACCACCTGAAAAAAGAAGAAGAAACTAAAATATTTACTTCATAATCATAACCTTTCAATATGATATGAATGAATATGAGCAAATAAAAACAGTAATTTAACCGACAATCAAATGTAATTAAAACTATCATAAACAATTTATAATGAATTGATATTGCTGTATGACTGTTAGTTTAATATTAAATTACTTATCAATTTTATCAATAATGGCCTAGGGTCGTTGCCCCCTGAACTCGGATGAAATCATTGCTAAAATAAATAGAAGGTGAGATTATTTACTCATTATATCCTCAAATTTTCACATTGAGATACATACATGCATAAATGACGCCTTTATCCCTTGCGGGGTAGGCAGAGCGTCAACTGCTGTAAAAATACGGTCGTTATTGCCAGTATTGCCACGCTTTATCAGTATTTTGACGGCCCTTTTAGCTATTGTCGTGTATAACTATAGTCATAGGATGTCAGCTAAAATTGCAATACACATAGAACCCTATATAGAGTCCCTTAGTCGCTTTTTACGACACCTACAGGAAAGATATGGGGTAATTAATTAATGCTATTCTAAGCCGGGACCACACGGAAAGATAACTGAAAAGTGTCCACTATGAAAACGTTTTAAAGCTCTCATAATCGAGCCTGCTTCTTAGCAAACTACAAGTAGACCTAACCTGACGCCGTAAATGCTCTTTCAGCTTTTACGCTAATAGGTTAGATAGCCAGGATATACTAGTTAGGAAACGAATGTTGCGTTTTCGACATTCAGAAGCAAATGTTGACTTTCTTTACTGCGGTATTGTAATGTGTGGGTTCCGTGGATCCACGTCTTGAAGGAGGCAAAAAGTAGCGCGAGATCCCGCATTGCGGGATTGCAATCCCCAGCCGTTAGCAGGTAATATACCTATAGCACATTATCTATATAGGGTTGCATTTAATTAAGTACAAATCTCTTGAGGGTGTGATCTACTCACAAAACTGAACAGCTTTTGTTAGAAACTTTTCTTCGAAACATGAAAAAAAATTTGGACCTCCCATACAAAAATGTTGAAAAAGTGTGTCACTCAGTATGGGAGGTCAAATATTTTTTTTTATATTTCGAAGAAAAGTTTTTAACAAAAGTTGTTCAGTTTTGTGAGTAGACCACATCCTC